AAGATTAATTAATAATGTTGTTTTGGCCCGTCGGAGTCTTTATTGAATGGCCCTCGTATAATTAGATTTCCATGTCGGAATTTCAAGTGCATTTTCTCGTATACACTCTCCGACGAAGAAAACCGGAAACGGCATTCGCATGCAGATTTGTCGAAGTGAATTAGACTTTTCCAGTGGAAGACTTACGAACTGTTTCCTTACGTCGATGGTGTTGTTATTGAACCGGTGACACAGATATAAGGTATAATAAATGTTGACATAAATCCAGGCGAAATATATGCCCTCGAATAATATTGCACAGGAAATATGAGATATTTATGCAGATCTAATAAAAAGAAATCTTCGTGTGGAGTTCTTTTAGCCGCATCGTAGGCGGTTACGGTTTCCGAAGTGTGTTGCCCTCGTTTTAATACATTATGCAGGATGATTGTACAGTTACGTGCAAAGTAAATGCCCCGTGTAAATCGCAATTTGTTAACGCCGGTGGAAACGGTTTTTAGTCCGACAATAAAATGACAGCTCATAAAACATCATACATCAGATTTTGCGGGTTTTAAAACGAATGTTTTACTTTATTACGGTCTGGAGAAAAATTCACAGATAAGGGTGGAGCGTAGAGATATTAAATGACCGAGGGAAGTTGAGAGAGGTGATATAGAAAAAAATATTACTAGAGATAATTTAAATAGCAGGAGAAATGTGGTGCAGTGGATCTAGTGGTATAGTCACATTGCTATTGTAAAGTAATGGAAAAAAACAAGGAGTAAATTTATGGCATGATGAATATGAAAATCAATTTTTTTTTCTAGAAAAACGAATGAGGACCGAAAGCTCAAGAAGGAAGTATTTCAATAAGAGGAGAGAATTGAATTTTTCGTGATCCACTGGTTTTTACATATTTAATAATACATGTTACTTCCTCGTTAACATATATAGTATCTACATTATTGATGCCAGAGAGAACAGTGCCGTCGAAATATCAAGTTCTTAATAACGAACGGAATGAAAGTTAAACAATATATGCAGCAAAATTTTCAACCCATTTTCACTTCTTCATCTTAAATAAGATACAAATTTAAACACACTTGATAAAACTTGAAGGTTTCAATGTTGTCTACCGTTTATCTTATCACTAAGGCATAAGTAACACCTCATCTCAGGATATCCTTTTTAAAAAAGATCATTTATGACGCGATTAGCTCATTAGATTAAGAATATTTTTATAAAGATTTTATTGAATTAACAAAATACATAAGCGAACGAATTTGTCATGTTGCATATTCAATGTAAAGTTTACTTAGCAATTTGTTTATTTTGCGAAACTTCACGCATTGTTGGTGCAGTCAAACATATTAATATTGATGTGTGCAGAGTAACACTAACAATAACATTGCTCTCTGTCCAGAATTTCTGGGTAATTAAATTTTAGAGTTGGTCGATAAAACAAATTTGTTGTTTCTAAAACCATATTTTCGAAATGCAAGCAATTGTCGCATCGCATGTAGTACTACTAATAGTAGAACTATATACTCAAACTGTCGGAAAAATGGGGTGATCAATAAAACAGATGTTTTCATTCATTAATTTCATTCTGTATAAGAAATTTTAGAAAATATTAATGCGTTGATATACCACAATACAAACTGATGACATTTTGCATATTTTAGGTAAATTGCAGGGACGAAAAAAGTTTTCGCTAATAACATAAGGCAATTTTTTAATGACTTCTTTCCAGTTTTCTTCTAGTAATCTTCCAGATTTAGGTTTGATAGTTCTCTAAATATTTTACTAAAGTTTTACTAGTTAATAAAATAGAGCGACAAAACATTCAACAATATTTGTTAAAATTTTAAGTGAAATTCAAGTGACTTCTCGTCTTTTGATCTAATTGTGTAATAAAGTCTTCAGTTTTGCTGTACTTTTTTGTCTTTATAATTTTCTCGTAATAAGAGAACATTAACTGTAGATTTACCCGAAATTCGTGATTTTTTTGACAGGTTGGCAACATGTCTACAAATTTATGATGGCATACCTGATGTTAAATTGAAATTTGGGCATCAGTTTACCAGCTCCAATCTTCCTATTCATTTTTAGCCGCGTTCGTGTCAAAATTGACAACTGTGAACTGATATGCTAACATTGGTGCCAATAATACAAAATTGCCAACAGAAAAATTTGCTTCAATCATTAATAGTTACCCGATATCTACTATATTAAAAAAACACCGTTAGATCAACTGGTTTATCTCGAACTTTTTCTAAAATATTAATTATTTTTTATTTTATTTTATAAGTTATATTTACATCAAATGTATAACTTCGGATGCCAGAGGTTAACCACCGAATAACTAAACAGTAACAAAGTGCCGAGGTCATTGATTTTCCTTCGATGCTTTATTTTTCTGCATGTAATATTCATATTTTACATTTTCTCGGAAATGGGAGATCTGTAATTTTAGAATAGCGCCAGCAAAAAAAGACGTTTGTCAAAGTGGTCGCTATTTCAATACTTTCCTATCGTTTGAAATGTAAAATCGCCGCACGATCGCGCTTTTCTACAAAGAACGCTGATATTTTTGCTCCGGTTTCAATATCCAGTTTTTGCAGGCAGTAGGTAAAACCCTCTCATTTATCAGCCTTGTCCAGCTGTGGACTAAATCCAAAATTTAAGAAAGAAGCTTAAAGTCTTTTATTGTTCCTGCGGCCCTTAATTCTTCGGATTCCGACTGTGGCTTTTGACAAATGCCCGAGCATCGTTAGTTTTCTCGCTCGAATTCTGGACCTCTTTTTCGTTATGTATATTTGAAGAGCGGCCGCTGTTTTACAACACCTGTGGCGTTAATAATTGAGTGGCTTTCTGGAAAGGTTTATTGACAATACCACTTAACGCTGGCATACTCGTCGAGTCATTTTATTGCCGCCTCCAAATTAAATTTTCAACACTCAATGACATCCCGATCCATAACTAATTTTAAAGTTAATTTCGCGAAAATTCGGAGTGACGCGCCGTAAATCGCACGGAAAGTTGAGCCGCTTTTTGTTAACCGAGTGTTGTCAAACGTTAAAGTAACAGAGACGTTTCAGTTCCGGTGATTCCGGTCTGTTGTGCACTTGAAAAGGGACCGCTGCACAGGGTTTCCGGTTTAGTTTCTCGTATAAGGATTCTATAATGGTTTTCCTGATATTTTCAGAGATCGTTAAACGATAGAGTGTTTAAGCTCAGTTTCATGGCGTCTTACAAATTGTTAACTAAAAGATTTATTTGATTTAGATTTAGAAGTCTTGAACGCGGTTAATTGACGAGGCACGCCTGGACTTTGCCTCTGGGAAATTGAGGAGGAAGGAAATTTTTAGTTTAATTTTGGAACACCTAATTAGCAGTTGCCGTTGAAATGCACTAGAGATTTCATCGAATCGTTGTATAGCGTCTGGAAGTTTCTTACGTTTGCTGTGGTGGCTTGTACGTATTAACACTCATGAATGATGTACAAATTGTATTTAATTAAACAGAGTGGTGTTCATGATTTCATGTTGAACGTCGCTTTGATTATTAAATTGTTCGAAGAAAATTACGTTGTACATGTTTCATTATCAGTCAAGGTGAATTAGGCTTTCTGTCTGTTTAGTAGCTTTAAGCCTTTACTATAGTCGTAATTTTAGCGAAGGTAGCGGATAAATTAAACTAGAATTAAATTTGATGATATAAAATATATGCAAACATTTTCAACAGGACCGAAGTCTTCGAAACTATTAATCCTCTAACACATGATCCCCGCAACACCGAAAATACACTAAAGCTATCTGTTGAAACGTGTTCACAATTAATTGACATTTTGACCATCACGTGGATGATAACATATTTGTGTTAACAGGACTGGATTTGAAATTTCTAACAAATAGCTCTCTACCTCCCCTGGCTTCTCCCTCGTTACAGCCCTGTCTACGAGTCATGAAACGTAGACAATATATGAAAGTATTAAGTGTCTCGATGGACTCGATTACTATGCTTCCCTAGCTTACGCTTATGTTTATACATCGAAAGAATGTCACGCAGAAATTAGTAATACGAAAAATACATTCAAAGTTCTAATAAATAATTTTTAATAAATTGTATTATATTTAAAATTTGGTACTTATTTTGTAAAGAGAGCGTTTTCCTTCTTATATGCCGTTGAGCAATTTTATTTTCGTTGGAACCGGGCGTATTGCGCTCCGATTTTATCGCCGGGGTTAGCGTATAACATATTTTATATTTTCCGAGTATAACATAGTGCAGATTACACATGTACTTAAAAACCCTGTAAGTCCACAACACCCTTGAGTGCTAATTTAAATGCAGTACCAGTAAAAAAGAACGTGAACTGGCAGTAATCCAAAACTGACGGAATGGAAATTGTGGCACAAAGTAGTCAACTTAGAACACGTTTAAACTTTTAATTTTACAACGTCTATAGTGCGAAGAACGTTTTAATCCTCAAAGGAACAAAATTGAAAAAGATCGCTGATAAATCCTTGACACATAAACAATGATCTAATTTGAGTAAAATATTACCTTTTGAAACTGAAACTAGACGGCTATCTCAAAACGACGGGACTAAAGTAATTAACCAGGTTAAAGTGGAGATGTGACGAGACGCAGCAGCAGAAAACGGATTCTGTTCGTCTTTGTTTTGAATTTAAATGTAAATTTTCACTCGTGCTTAGGGACAGTTTCAAAAGTTTAAATCGTGACAAGTCGAGCCTTAAATTAGATGTGTAGATAAATTTTTCAAGACGCACTAAATGTTTAGTTTTACTCTTGTGTTTGTCCCGAGAATTTTCTCCACCACCTTTCGCTGCAAGCGTGGAGAAACGTCTTCTTTTTGTAGTAAAGTTGACGTATTGTTGTGAATACAAATGAACCTTTCGCTAGCAGTTTGCCTTAGTTGCTTAGCTCGTATTGTTGCGCTAACTTTTATAAATCTAGTAAAATATGGAATAGCTAAGGTCTAGCGGACTCACCTTCTGAGTTGTCTGTTGGCCAGTATAACCCCCATGAGGGCGATATTGGCGGCCATCCCCATCGTTCCTAAGGCGAAAATAAGCGCCGCCTCTGCGGTCCCTCCAGGATGACACTGAAAGACTTTGGTGGCATTCTGGCTCGCATTGGCAACAGTGCTCCCAAAACGCAGGTTGGCACCGATCATCGCCACCGCAGAACCTGTCACAGAATTTCGGTTTTGCACATTTAGCATCAACAACCTAACCGCAAACCCTATGAATCACTTTGTTCTTGAGGAACGTCGGGAAAAGCCGAGGCAAAAGTTGCCTGTCGATACATATTTTTTTTATATTTTAGTAATTTTATTATTGTTGAAAAGTGTTGAAAAATTTTATTTTTTAGAAAATATCGTCAAAATATGCACGATTATGCAATTTGTGTGTCTGTAACGAAAAACAGATAATCTACCGAATCTTGAAGTTTGAAGACTGGAACAATCAAAATAAGTAGCATTCCAGAAAGGTAGGTAAGAATTGATCGAAAAAGCGACGGCTTTTTTACGTCAACAAAGTTAGTAAAGTTCTAGCAGTATAGATGCGGTTTTGCCCCATTAAAAAGTTTCGCGAACATCTAGTCTTTTCAACGGTTAAATAATGTGCGACCGAAAAAAAACTCGTCCAGTTGGCACCCGAAGTTGGCTTGTTTTGTTAGTATACGACGTGGGTGTACCATATTTGTTTCTTTTATTTTTGGGCAATCTGTTAAAATGACATTTATTCGACCTATTTCATTTTAGACGGTGTTTAAGAGTGGACATTTTGAATGTAGTTTAGAAATTAACCCACTGAATAGCCTATTTAACATGATTAACAAACGTGTTGGATCAATAGCAGTTTGACTGATAGGTACAAGTACACTTTTAGTGCACGTCGAATGCCAGCTTTATTGATAGTACGTTTATAAATAACGAGCGATCAGAAGCAAAACCCTGTACTAACTAGTTCGTCTTTTTTTCGTGTGCAGATTCGTTGTCATTTGTCACATCTGTCATCTCACTTTTTGTGACATATGTAGTGTAGACATACGTTTTAGTTACAAATGACAATCAACAAGTAACTTGCAGGTTTTTTCGTTATTGTGAAGACGGTGCGCAATATACATATCAAAATGCCCTACACGGGGCAAATATTGCACACACATTTTTGAGAAACAATTACAATCAAAATCAAGGTGGATTCATAAACTACAAGTACAGGAGAATGTTATTTTACAAAATTTTAATAGTATTTGCCAAGTAAAATGTTGACGTGACGTCATGGAATTCTTGGTGAGGATGATTAGATAAATTTTAATCAGCGTTTTACCATCTACGTTTAAAATTTGGTAACAGTCCAGTAGTTTCGGTAATTTTCTGTCTAATAAAAGTAGACACATACGGTAAACAGACAGATGGAAGCGGAAGATCTACATATTATTATTTATTTCTATATGCTGTATATAATTTGAGGAAGAGGCAGATATACCGCCAAGGAAAAGTTTCTGAAACTTTAATTGTTTAACCTACTTATTGATGCACAGCGAATACGAGATTATTTAGATAACATATGTATATAAAATGAGAAAATAATTGTACAACATATTTTAGAAGCAATATTTTACCATTTGTTATGACGTTATGAGGGGACAAATATATTCACTAAATATTTTTTAAAGATTTCGCAGTTGAATGTCTTTAAAACTCAGCTCATAGCATGATGTGTTATAAAGAAATTACTTCATTATATTATTAAAAATTTTCTTTATTATTAAAAATTTTTGGCAGTGTTGTGAAAAACCATTTAACTGAAAATTAACTATACGTGTGAAAGTTTTATACATCTGTTAAAAAGATTAAAATTGCAAAATAAGTAAGATATTAGATATTCAAGTAAATGTTTGGTATATGACAGCAAATGCTTAATTGTACACTATCAACTACTTAATATTGAACGTTACAAATTTATTAAATATTTTTAGGAGATACTTAAGACACTTAGGTGCGTTGAATTATGCCAGGGTGTGATAAAACGAATGTTTTTTCGACTGAAGAAAACAGATTTCATTGTCTTTGAGCTATTATGTTAAATTTAAACTATTTTTATACCCGAGCGTAAGCTAAGGAAGTATTAAAATACGGTTCATTGGGCTATTGGCTACTTTCATGCTCTCTCGACGTTTCATAATCCCTAGTGTACGAAAAGATAGGTCCCCCATTTCCGTCCGTCTGTTGTCTGCCTGTGTCGATTTTTTTTTATTAGACATATCCTCCGAAACTACTGGACCGATTGTTGTCAGATTTTAGGAATATCATCACCATCTAGATGATATTCCTAAAATGTAGTAAACGCCATTTAAATATAATAAAATCCAAATTGTGTCACATTTTATACCAGTATAAGAGCACTGACGTTCGGTAAACTCGGTGGTTGTGCTGTAAAATTGTCGAAGTACTGATGCGAAGGTCGCTGGTTCGATTGAATTATGGGTTACAATTTTTTATTCATCATTAAATTTTGTAATTTTTTTCAAAAGCGCCGAATTTGTTGGACAAATTTTTCTTATTTGCTTCTTCTCAGTATTTCGGCTTTTTTCAACTAAATGTCCTATCTACCATTCTAGAACGATATTAGGTCTATGCTTACTGACAAACACACTATGTAGTCCTAACACTCCTAACTATCAAAATTTACATACACAATGCGTTAATTAAGCTTCATTGGAGGAATTATTTTTTTGTCTGACTTAGGATAGTGTCATGAGGTAGAGAAAAAAAAAATGGTCTAAAGTTATATAGACAGAACTTCTCTGGCGTTCGTACTTCAGGCTGTACGTATTTGTGCAAATATAGCGTTTTTAAAAATTATAAAATTTAATTGTGCGAATTATGTATTTATGTTTTATGATGATTTTTATGCATTATTTTACAAAATAATACATAATAATATGTGTGGATTGTTCAAGCACAAGTAAAGAAGCATGCTGTGCTTGAACTTGTTCTTTCAAGTGAGTTTTTCCATAAAAAAATGTGATGTCATCTATATTTTAGCAAAGACGTGTGTATCAACATGATACGTTTAATGTATCAATAATAATAACAGTATGGTATTCCTGAATTTTTTTGTGTCACTTGTATAAGGACTGCTAAAAGGAGAAACGTAGTAATAAATCACAAGTATTCACTCATACTCTACGGGTCGTGACACATCAAGAAAATATTAAACTAGCCAGTCGCCTGATGGACCCGATTACAATACTTCTTTAGACTCGTTATATTTTGTACATTTTAAGAGATAACAGGGCCAATTCTGAATCAAACATGTTAAAATTTAAAGGTTGTTAAAAAATAAACAGCCAATCAAATTTACGAATTTAACTTGTTACTATGGAAATTTGCAATTTAACAGCCTTTAAATTTAACAGGTTTGATTCAGAATTGCCCCTAACGTCATCAACTTTGGGGGGATAAACAAATATATTTTGGTTAAAAATTTACCATGCTAACGATAACTTTAAAACGTCTGTAAGATTTCAGAGCATTTCAAAATTTCAAAATTAAATTGCGAAATGTTGTTATACAGTATTGATTTTTTTTTTACAAAAATCTGTATGTCTTGGGTAAAAAATCAACACGGATTCGTAAACTACACGTGTAGGATTATGTACTTTTATACAAGTTAAATCCATTTACTATGTACAATTTTGAGGTGACGTCATAGCATTGTTGATGGATATGGTTAGACAAAGTTTGGTTAGCGTTTTACCATCTACGTAATATTCATAATACACATGAAATTTGACAACAATCGGTCCAGTAGTTTCGGAGATTATCTGTCTAATAAGAATCGTCAGGGACGGCGTACAGGGAGACCCATTTTTTCGTACTCTAGGGGTCATGAGCCATCGATAAAATGTGAAAGCAACCGGTCGCCCGATGGACTCTATTATAAACAATACTTTCTTAGCTTACGCTCAGGAAGTAAAAATCTTTAAAATTGGGCGTGTGTCAAGTTTACGAAAGATTTTACATTAAGAGACAATTCTCAATTTTATCGAGCTCAGTCTTTTAACTGCTACGTGCTTTAAAACAATCTTAGTAATTAAATCAATACTCAAAATTCAGCCTAAAGATTTTAGCATTGAATGAAAAAAAAGACATTCCTAATTGCCGTCAATTTCTCTGCTAATAATGGTACACAAATTTATATAAATGGAGTCTAACTAACTGTCTTCTTTATACAGTTTGGGTATTATTTCGATTTCACTTATGCGTATTAGTCGCTTTTTGGTCCAAACTGTATCTGAAAAGTCTTCATGTACGCTTCGTAATAAACTTCTTATTTATGATGATTCATTTGAAATTTTGAGTGCATTATTTGTTATTGTGAAGGTAGTAAAACTTGATCTCAATTCATTCCCTCCAAAAAATTCATGTCGTCACTTCAAAATTTAATTATCGAATTTCGTTTGAATTTTGCAGCGTATTGTTCTCGTTTACCTGTCATTCAATAAAATCATCAATTTTTATTTAATTTAATGGCTACAGAAGGTAACGAGTAGCCGGTTTACAGAAGCTCAATTAAATATTTGATTGGGATAAACTTTTTAATGCAGAATTAAAGTATCACGTGACTGACTCTACGCGAATCAGACCTGTCTCATTAAATGCGTGATTAACTTAATCTCAATTAAAATATTCTATAAACTGGCCTGAGGTGTTTTTATTTATATATTTTTAACTTTTTAATTGTTGATTGCAAAATTTGGTAAAGGACTCGCAGAAAATGCTTTATTATAATACTTTATTTATATATGTATAAGAATATGCACGATACTATAATTTGTTTAATTAAATATATTCAAGCTAGCTGCATTGTAATATTTCCCCTTATTAACCAAACCTTCACAAAAATGAGTTGATTTATCATGTGCCTCCCATTTCCAAAACGCAGGTTGACACCGATCATGTCACCGCAACGCCTGTCACAGAATTTCGGTTTAGCACATTCGGCATCAACAACCTCACCGCAAACCCCATCGCACTGTCCTTCAAGAACAGCAGGATGAAGCCGAGGCGACGACAATTTCGCCGGGCTTAATGAAAAGGGATGCGTTGTATAGGAAGCTTTTTAATGTTGCTTTCAGTGTAAACACGGTTTTTCCAAATACGCCACGCAAATGTTATGAATGGAAACAGCTGGAAAGGAGTGGCTTTTCGTGCCGGCGAAATACATTTTTCGTCACAGTTTAATAAAATTGATTTGAGTTGTTGGATATTTTTCGGTTTCCATCTTCCACTGGGTTTGTGAGCGTCTGTGGTTGATAAACATCAAATTCTGCCGGGGGTTGCTTCGCGAATATGTGATAAACTACGCTTGGAAAAAGATTGCAGAGGTTTTCCGGGCGGCTCTTTCAGAGGAGCCGTGCAACGATAAAATCGTGTTCGAATCGACAATATTCTAGCATTTATATATGCGTTAGTTGTCAGGGAAAAGCCGCTGAGGGTTCTAATAGAGGTCTACTTTTGAGGTAGCAAACGTTTTGCATTTTTATAGGTCGTGGAGGTAGTGGGTAATTTTTCTCCATGTTGAAAATTTTTACTGGCTTTATAGGTCGGAGATAATAAATTAGGCTTAAGGCATATTGTTATGAGTGGAGTTCAACTGTGTTATTAAAAATGAAATTGCAATCATAACAATGTCTGGTGCAATGCGGATTGTCATTGGTTGTATGTCAAAGGTTTACAGCTTTATTAGAAACTGGGGAATCAAAATGTGCATAAAAAACAATGAGTAGTCTTTTTAAAATAAAACTGTCTTCATGGCTGGTGAAATTAGAATATATTAAATTAAAATAAGATGATTTTTGTTCAATTGACATGACAAAGCTTGTACATGTCACGGGTATTAAAAACATCAAAATTGTAACTTAGTTAAAATATTGACAATTACAGATTTTCACCTTAAAACGTTTACCAGATTTCAGAGCGTTCAGTTTTGCAATTTCCTAGTTATTGTAAAATACAATTTTGATTTTTTTCCCAAAAATTTGGATGTATAGGGTAAGAACTCAACATGAATCCTTAAATTACACATGCAGGTATGCAATTCTAAAAAAATTAAAGAACATGTATTCGGTAAATTGGAAAATGACACTTTTTTAGGGGGGCATAAACGAAAAAACTTTGATTAACAATTGACCATGTTTACGATTACGACAACCTTAAAACGTTTCAAGATTTCAGAGCATTTGGTTTTGCAGTTTCAAATTTAAATTACAAAATGTTGAAACAATTTTGATTTTTTTCCAAAAATTTGGATGTCTGGGGTAAAAACTCAACACGGATTCATAAACCACATGTATTTTCTTTTATAAAATTTAGATAATATTTAGTAATGTAAACTTTCGAGATGACATCCTATTGTTGGTGGTGATGCTTGGCCAAATTTTAGTTAGTTTTACCATCTACACGATATTTCTAATACACACTCATATAAAATTTACAATCAGTTCAGTAGTTTCGGAGATTATCTGTCTAAAAAAATCTGAACAGACGGCAGACAGACTGACGGAAACGGGAGACATATTTTTTTGTACCGCAGAATTCATGAAATGTCGATAAAACCTAAAAGTAGCCAGTCGTCCAATGGGCTCGAATACAATTCTTTCTTAGCTTACGTTCAGTAAGTAAGAAAAACAGTGTAAATAGTTTAGACAAAAATTTCATGCTTAAGAAATCTCGATAAGAAAGCCCAGGCCATTTGTTTCATAATACAATTCATCAATTTATTAATGAAGTTTAAATTTTGATATTTATAACATCAAACAAAACGTTAGTACATACGTCTTGGATATAAGTTCCCTAGAATAGGATATTATGAACAAGTGTTATAAACGCCCCCTTAGTTACGAGTTTAATTAATCACGAACGGAGCGAATGTTTAAAAAAACGAGTGTCTATAGAAGTTTATAAGCCTGTTACATACTATGCTTTTTACGACTTCAAATGAAGACTACAATTATCCAAATTTCGAAAGTACGCTAATATAACATTAACAAAAGTTTTTTTTACAGTTACTGTTCCTGCTACCTCATTAATTTCCGGTGGAGTGTCTTTATTCACATGTATTAAACAATGTCACTATTCGAAACTAACTAGATTTTAGATTGTTTTTAGCCAAGCTGTGTTGAATGAACACGAAAACGGCCGAACGTACTCAAGATGTGTCTAATGAGCCCCAACACATCTTCGGCCCGTGTTTAAAGAGTGTAAAACCACGGCTCATGAAACTGTGATTAAAATATCATTTAGCGTCGTGTATTTACGTACCCTAAACAGTGTTTTAGATAGAGTAGAAAAATTTAAATATCTATGTAGGGCCAGTCGCTAGCTGTGGTTCTTGAGGGGTATTCAGTTCATTTTCAGAATGTAAAATCTCCATTATTAACAGATTTTGAATTTTTTTTTTAACCAAAATCCCTATTATTTATGGAAATTTCGGAACGCTGTTTTCACCACTGTTTTCACTATATAGAACTCTTGAAATTAGACGAGAGACATTGGCCACTTTTTTTGTCAGACGTGAGATACAGTAAAAGCAGCTTGTGGCGAAGTATATCTTTTTTCTGATAAAAAAGTCAACAATGCGTGTCTTGTGATTTCCAGGTGTGCAGAATTTCAAAGAATCACAATAAATGGTTTTCGAGATATTTAACCGGTTTTAAATTTTGGTCCTGGCGAATACCCTTCTGTCTTGTAATAGGATCCAACCAGCAAATAACTACTTTCATGTTTTCATAATTTTTCCAGATCGCTAGATTCCGTCTGTCATTTTGTCGTCTCTGTCGATTTTTATTAAACAGATACTCTCCAACACCACCGGGCTGATTGTTGTCAAATATTATATGTATACCTAGATGGTAAAACACCAACCAAAATTGCTCTAATGATTCCCACCAACAATTTCTTGACGTTCCACAGAATAGTGGATGTTAAATACTATTTAAATTTATTTGTGGTTTATGAATCTAGCTTTAATTTTTTCCCCGGCTTTCAAGTTTTCCAAAAAAAAAAAAAAATCACAGTATAAGAGCAATCGGACCACAATAGATATATTATTTCAAAAGTTTATCGTTCGTGAAAACTAAAAAATATCACATTATTTGATGATTATGTAAGAATTTAAATAAATTATTCACAAAATATTTGTGGCTGATCCAGATTCTACAAACTTTACTTACTCTGTGCTTTAAGAGGCGACAGAATCGGCTTTACATTAAACAATTTATTTATGCAAAGACAGGTGATTTGAATTTGTTGAGATTTACCTAAATTTTCCAGTAATGGAATCGAAAGGAACCCGTCCAACCCTAGCTGATAAAGCTCGTAATTACTAGGATAAATTTATTCGTGAGGGCTTCCCTTTCGATGGAATTAATCAGTTCTTTTGTTAAACTTTCCTCGAAAATAAGGTTGCCGCTACACTTGAGCTTTTCATCCAGGAATACTACGAGTCGCCGTTGTCAGCTTGTATTTTTCAAACAAAATGATAAAAGCGTCCTATTATCAATCATATCCATTTTACTCTCTTGTTCACGTAGTTTCACATTATCGATTTCAGACATTAGGATAAAAAAAGTTTTATCGCGCAGACACGATGTAATCTTCACCACAGCGCCAACCATTAAGCGATCCCTCCAGAAATTCACAAAATGTACTTAAAAAACTGCTTTGAGATCACCGAGTTTATTAAATGTGACTGAGCTGCATTAGAAAAAATCTTGTCGTTAAAAGCATCAAAATTTTAACACCAGTCTTAATCTCGTCGTCAAGTTTCTGCAGTGCAGGAAGTCTTGAAGATTTAATAATTAAACAGCGATCTCAGGAGGTAGTTGCCCTTCGAGCTCACCCTAATCCCCTTGCGCTATACAGACTCAAGTGTTCTTAATAATACAAAACATTGTTGCAGGAGCGGGCCTTTTTGCTATCGTATAGCTATTAATGACTAAATTGCACCATTCAAACCCTATGCTATTTAATTTGTTAAACTATTATTCTCTAAGGACCCGGTGACATTAGTCCGATTGTTCTGTGTGATTTGTTTGTGGCGTTTGTGTCGTCCATTTGATAAAAGAATCCAATTAGAGCACCAAATTGTAGCCAGGAATTTCCTTTATTTAGATCGAATCATTAGCGAATGTAGTTGCGGCATGAGCTTTGTTCATTCAAAATTTAATTAAATGTAAATAAAAAGTGGACTCAAAATTGATTTTGGGAGGTTTTGCAATTTGTTGCTTATTTTTTGTGAATTCCTGTGAGCTAAAACGAAAACTGAATTGTTAAAAATGTTTTGTTGTAGGTTTTCAGTCTAAAATCATTTTTTATACCCTCAAAAAATTTGGTGACGTCTTCTAAAAAATACGAATCAGCAAACTATCGTATGTGTTAAGATGAGATATTACTTAAGTCTCTGTACCGGTTATTTTAGAAGTGATAACTTGATGAATTTTTGAATTGAATACCCGATATTTTTTGATATTCCAGACCACTTGGTTTTAGGTTTTGCTCGTTCTCAAATATACACAACTTCCTTTGCAGCATTTACTTAAATAAATATTTTAAGAGAAAATGTTTCAAAGGTAAATCTTTATTTTGATGGTTTCATAACGTTCAGCCTTCCGTCATGATATAGTTACATTTGAATGGAAGCTTTCTACGACCCTTTAACCAATCTACTCCACTCAATCGTATAGAATTTGATTTGAATAAGATTAGTTTAAATGCATTATTCCTTGTGTTGCAGTCAACAAGGGAGATTTAACGTAAAGCGGATAGTGAGAAAGGCACATCGGGCGGTCGTAGACGAGCATAATGCAAAGCAAACCCTGTAATGTATGTAAGTTCCTGAAAGATTCAACACATCCTATCAAACTCATAACAAGTAAAAGTACTCCCGGGATGAACTATGTTTCCTTATCACGTTGTTTCCGCCAGCTGGAAAGTAAATCTTTTCGTTAAATAAGAGCAATATTTATCCAGACTGTAGAACGACGACATTACGAGTGTAGATAAACAAAACAACCGACAAGAAAATAATAGTTTCGTATAGGCCCCAAAGACGGATGAATTCGAACGCATAGAACAAATATTTCAGATGGCTTTATCGGATTAGGTCGTCGGATTTCTTCGACGCCACCCTTGGAGGATTGATATCGCTCGTTGTCGTTTCACATGCAAATGTTTCAGGATCGTGGCCTTTTTGCAGGTAATTCGGAACAAGCCTGACACGAAGTTTGTTTCGTATTCTCGGAGCCACCTGACCCGAGAATTTACTTTTAGCACTATACATGGATCTCGGGGAAGCGTGTTCCTTTATTTCCGACTCGCCATAGGCAGTGTTGTACGGTACCTTTCCGCCTATGTTCCAAACTTAATTAGTTTGAGACTATACGTTTTAAGTTTTTGAAAGCTGTATAAAGCGCAATTTACATGTAGATTGTGAACAAACAGAAACAGCCTGCGCTTGTCTTTTTCGCCGAACCATTTCTGTGTGTAAGTACATAGCGGACGCACGTTGTAACATGATTACTTAGAAGCGCAAATGTTTGCACTGCATGGAAATGTTAACTCAGATTACAGCACGAAATAATATTTGGTTATTACAGTTAAAAGTATTCATTCTTTTTTGGTCGCGCTAGTTGTTGTGTAAGTTTCCCTAGCTGAGTTTCTTCACTAAACGGAAGTGAAAAACCAAAAAAAAAAAAAATATATATTAAGAGAGAATATATTTACTGAAAATTTATACACATAATAATATGAATTACGTTCAGTACACTGACATGTATGTATATTACGTTCTGAGACTATGGTATCGGAAAAGTTTTCCCCTTGTTTGAAGTGTTTAGGTTAAGAAATAAAAAGTTGGTAGATTACAGACGCTTGGAGGTTTATTTTCTTTGTTATCACACACATAAAGAGACGAATGAACCTCAAAATGTCGACAATCAAGCAAGTTTTATTTTCCTAGTCGTATTTTGTGTTTTCTTATTGCACGAATTTGAGACGTAAGGCCTGCGTTTTTTATCATAATGAGTTCCTTCAACGTCAGTAATGGAATAGATAACAATAAATCGAAAGGAAACAAACGAAACGAAAAAATAAATTAACTCAAATAATGAATATGACAATTATTAATTTTACCACAGAGGGATCGGATAATTTTAACTTTCTGTGGTTGTTGGTAACAAAAATCAACGATGGCACGAGTAAATTTGTTGTTATGTTAAATTTTAAGCTTTCAAAAAAGTTCGTATTTTTGTGGTATGTATTTTTTTTTAAATAGTTTTGCTATAAATTTCTCTGTCTTTTCAAAAGCAATTGGTAACACAAGTGTAGTATAGATTGTATAGCAAGTTTTATAAAGGCGAATTTGTTTAAAAAACGAATGTCTAGAGAGGTTTACTAGGCTCTTTCTACGACTTAAAATTAAAACCGTAATTATAGAAACTCTGTGAATTTATTACTCTACAAAATATAAAATACACATAATTCTCATAAAATTTATTAATTAATGATTGTAAAAGATCAAACACACCATTAGGCAATTTAACCTTCAATGACTCTGGTACTGTGCCACCCCTTATGTCAGGGAAAATCGGGCCCACAATCTGTCAAAATCGTTTTGCTTTGGTCGGCAGCAAATTAGTCATTGCCCCTGCATGTTAAAGCTAATCCAACAGAGATCAAAACGAGCTGTCAGTTTGACAAAAAGCAGCCTTGACCGAAAATAGCCCGTGGATTAGGTGGCAGTTTAGTCACGGGTCGTGACGGTATTTAAAACCTAAAATTCGGCCAAAGTAAGATTTCTAGCTAAAATTTGATGGTTTCCTTGGCATTTTCGGGTCCGTTAGGTGCCGGAAACACCAGAAAACACAAGAAAAAGTTTGAAAACTAACATTTCTGTAGTTTTTAATGAATTTCTTAAATCTACAAACACTAGAATGTGGAAAATATACTCAAACGTCTCTTTTTCGCAAAATAAAAATAAAACTTAACCAAAATAAGATTTCTAGCTAAAGTTTGATTGCTTTCTTGATATTTTCGGGCCCTACGATGTTGGAAAGACCAGAAAACACAAAAAAAAGTTTGAAAACTAACATTTCTGAAGTTTTTTTTAGAAATATCTTGAATCTATAAATTCTAGCATATGGAAAATATACCCACTCGTCCCCTTTTCGCAAAATACTTAAGTGGATTCTGCGTGTCACAAGTGCGTCAGGACGATCAAAATCGTCAAACCAAGTCGAAATATACTTCAGAAGTTATAAAAGTCAACCAACATAAGATTTATAGCTAAAATTTTATGGTTTTCTTAGTATTTTCGAGTCCTGCCATGTCGGAAACACCAGAGAACACAAGAAAAAGTTTGAAAACTAACATTTCTGAAGTTTTATTACGAATTTCTTGAATCTACAAACACTAGAATGTGGAAAATATACTCAAACGTCTCCTTTTCGCAAAATAAAAATAAAAATCAACCAAAATAAAATTTCTAGCTAGGATTTGATTGCTTTCTTGATATTTTCGGGTCCTACGATGTCGGAAAGACCAGCAAACACAAAAAATGTTTGAAAACTAACATTTCCGAAGTTTTTTTTAGGAATACAGTGGTGTCGTGATAGTCCGAATCAATGTTAATCCGAATGTTCCCATAATCCGGATCAAATTATTTTCTCACAATGTATTTTATAATTCGGATTTATCTGAATTTAGTAATCCGAATTCACAGAATTACATATAAGTGGTTCCAGACAAAACATTTTTTTTGTTGTGTACGGATTTAATAACGTCCGAGGTGGTCATTCCGTCTTTTAACATTAGAAATGGCACCTCGCAAACGAAACCGCAAGAAAGATTTGGTACTAAAGTATGGTGTGGAAACTTCCATGATAAGTGACATTAAAAAAAAATAAGGACAAAATTAACAGGTAAGTAATATTGGAAATCTCGAAGTAAATGTCAGCGATGTTATTGACTGGCTCGACGGTGATGCGAAAGAGACTGAGGCTAAGGAAGAATCTGAAGACAACGAAGACTAAGAAGATGCAGTACCAAGTACCAAATCGGTAAAAATTAAAAAGGAAGATGCCATTGAAGCTCTTAATCTTGCCAAACAGTGGCCAGCAGAAAATAATGTACCTATCGTTGAAAAATAAAATGACTCCAAAAATTAAAAGAAGAAGCTTATATAAACCAGCAACATGCTGTTCACCAAACAAAAATTACAATTTTTTTAAAATCTAATGCAATATAATAATTTACTACGTACACTGTAATCAATAAATCTTTTTTTTTCACATTATTACCGTGTTTTTTTATACTTAGTAATTCGAATTATTTAATAATTCGGATCGGGTCGGTTTTAATTGATCCGAATTATCGCGACACCACTGTATCTTGAATCTATAAATCCTAGAATGTGAAAAATATACCCAATCGTCTCCTTTTCGCAAAATAAGTGGATTCTGCGTTTCAGAAGTGCGTCAGGACGATCAAAATCGTCAAACCAAGTCGAAATATATTTCAGAAGTCATAAAATTCAACCAACATAAGATTTTTAGTTAAA